TTGACTTGGAAGATTAATTGTTGCAATATTTTTGTTTTGGTTTATCTACTAAATATAATGTTGAATGATTTTGTATACCAATGTATACTAAAATTTTATGTATAGTGAAATCTTTAGATTTAAATTTCTTTGGCTACAGTTCGAGGGACACTGATTCCCTAGTGGTTTTCCACGTGGATTGTAGGCGAAGGGATTTTTCCTTTTCGAAGTGTGACTAATGCTGTACAAGTACAAATAAACAAATTGTTATTGGTTAATATATTTTTAGCAGAGTTGAGAAGAATCAAGTCGAAATACAATTGTTCCTGATTGGGAAGTAAAGAGTGAGTTTGATCCAACAACAGTAAAGTAAGCGACAAGCCAGCATAGTTGACACTTGGAGGTGAAGTCCCTTTGCTTACAACAAGCTTTCATCATGCTGAAGATGTGATACAAATAATGTTCATTTTGATATGAGTTCATTGCCTAAACGGGACTTTATAAATTTGTATGTGGTCGAATTCATGAGAACTTATTGAATTGTGAAACTATTTATAAAGAACTGTGTACACGTATCTAAAAATGGTTAGTTGCATTGTAAAGAAATAAAAGAATAATATTTAATAAAAGTGTTGAAGACATTTTTGTTTTGAGTTTTGGGAATACTATTCCTTAAGGGAAAGCCTTGCTAGTGGTGTTATTTGAGATTGGCATGTAAATATGCTGTATGGACAACAGAGTTTTCTATGCCCATAACTAAACATGAACTGGATGCAAGATTATATCAATCACTGAGGATATGGGTATAACCTCATTGGTTGATATCTTTGGCGGAAGTACATGTGATACATCCTCATTCTTTCAATATCCAAGTGGTTGGTTTATGGGCTATATTTGGTCAGGCAATACACATTGACTGTTTGGGTTGACGAGGTCCTTGATATGCCCCCTCTCCCACCCATTAGTACCAAAATGTGGATAGGTTTTTCATATTTAGATTTTGATATTGGTATTACATGTATGCATTTTGGGTTGATGAGCAAGAGACAACATTAGAAAAAACACAAGAATTACTATGTGATCAAATGTTGACGGAACACACCTTCACTTTAGCGTCTGATGAGGCGATGTTCACAGGAAAGGTCAATGAGGGCAAGTGGATTTGTATATTTGTGCTCGCTATTTCATTACAATGGTAAAAATAAAATAATATATCTCAGATGACAATATTGTTGATTATCATGTGTCATTTTTTATCTCCAGACTAGTTATGTTGTGAACAACTCAGAGCTATATCCAGTGAGCTGTTTTGTGCATTGCATTGTGCATAGTAGTCCACATTTTGGTATCTGAAACGTATAGATATTATCTTGTATTCGGTTCTCTCCTCTAGAGTTTTCTATACCCATAACTAAACATGAACTGGATGCAAGATTATATCAATCACTGAGGATATGGGTATTTTCAATGTAATATAATCATCGTCAAGCAGGACCGTTAGTTTTGCTCTTTAAACTGTTTGACTTTTTGATAACCTGTGGCTTTTTACAACTTACTATACGGTATAAGTCTTTCTCATTGTTGAAGGTCACCCTAAGTTGATTAAATCCTTGAAAGTTGGTCTTAAGTGGATGGATATCTCATTGGAAAACATATCACATTTCCTTATCTATATGGAACGTAAGGACTGTCTCATGAAGTATATAGCAGTTTGGTTAATACTTTTGTTCGTTCTTTTAAATTTCCGTGGTGATTTTGTTTATTTATGCATTGGTAACCGCTCTAAAGTTAGGCTATGGTGACATACGTCATAGATTTTGAGCGATGTTACATTGGAATAAGGATCGTTTCAATTTGCATAGTGACAAGAATATAGAATTATGACGTGTTTATCTATGCTACCCATCATTTAATATTTTCCTGATTTTTCTTTTGCCTAGCTTTATACATATAAAGACAATTAACGTGTTCATGTGACTCACATGTATATGGTAAAAAAATATATAAATTGAGGTGTGTACGTGATGAATTCATTCGCTTAGCAACATTTTAAACCAATCAGCTGTTCTCATATCGTTTTCTATATTATATTTAAAAAAAATTGATAACATGATATGGTTATTCTGTTTTAACTTTGTTTTTTTTTTTTTCTATATACCAGAAGGCTATCTCGCAAACTTATAACCAATAGTGTCCTTGCGGAGAACGGGACATCTATTGAATAGTTCCATTTTGAAGTGTTTACAAGGGCGGTAATGTTTGCCCACTGTGCATTAATAAAACGGCAATACTAAAGAAATTGAGAATAACGGCAAACCTTTAATTTTCTCTCTAATATTTATTTAAAACTTAGGACATATTGTATATAGACACATGGCTATTGCGGAAGACCGTCTAGAAGTCTGAAATTTCATTGACGTATATATGCCGCATATCGTTTTATTCAGGGGCGATAATTTTACAAAACATTGGAGAAACGCTAACTAACATGATTCTGTATTGTGTTGAACAAACTTGTGCTTTCGTATGTCAAGTGACTTGCATGTACAAAGATTGAGGCGTTCAAAAGTTAGAGAAGTTGAATATCAAAGTAATTGTTTCAATTCTTTATTTTTTTTTTGTTCGTTTTAGGGGGGACAGAGTGGGAGTAAAAAGTATGGCATGTTTTAAAGAATCATTTCACTGTTTCTTTACCATTTGACTTTTGATAGTATTTTTGTTAAATGGTTTGATAAAGAGAAAGGGATTTAAAACGTTATCGTTCTTATTTGTCGGTTCATCTAAACTTAATCTAATTAAAATATGGAGTATAACGAAATCAGAGTTCTATATTTTAATTAGATTGATGATCTAAACTTTGTATCCGCATCTCTTCCTGGATATAAATATACATGTATGACTTGATTTTTATGGATCTTTTAGAGCTCTTTAGAATCTTAAATAAATTGCGCACTTCCTTTTTTCTTTTCTTTTTTCTTATGCAATCTTTTAATGAAATCACTTGTCATTTTCGTCCCATGTTTTAAAAATTATTTTTTAAAGCTTGTAATGTAAAAAGTAAAATAACAAAAATACCGAACTCCGAGGAAAATTCAAAAAGAAAAGTCCCTTATCAAATGGCAAAATTAAAAGTTCAAACACATCAAACGAATGGATAACAACTGTCATATTCCTGACTTGGTACAGACATTTTCTTATGCATGGTGGATTAAACCTAGTTTTATAGGCACGATAGCTAGCTAAACCTCTCACTTGTATGACAGTCTCATAAAAATTTCATTATATTGACAAAAATGTGTGAACAAAACAAACAGACATAATAGGTATAAATGTCAAAATTAAGGGTACAGCAGTCAACATTGTGTTATAATCTCAATCACTATAAAAACAAACAAATATATCCACAAAGAAAAACAAAAAGGCATGTCGACAAAGCACATTAGCAAAAACGAAAGACAAAAATACAAAAAATTACCATAGCATAATAATACAATGACGGGATGTATAAGTACCGAGCCACGTCAAATGGGTAAATACCAAAAGTAGACTAAACAGTAAAAGTAATACTTTACAAAGACAAATAAAAGAACACTATAGCATGGATTTAAGATGATAAACAACGTCAGTACCTAGAATCTAATCTTCAAGACCATCGTGTATTGTTTGTGAAGTTGATACGGAATATAATTTATCAACAAGGTCTTGGTATTTTCCGATGAACTTTTTTTAGAAGAAGGACGAGACGTTCTTTGATATAACCCTGGTTCATTAACTTTCTGCACATACACTGGTGAAGTTTTACAAAGTCTGAGTAGCACCTGGAAGCTCTTGAATACCGAATGAGTTGGGAAATGTATATCCCATATGCAAACAGTACATATCTTTACCAATTTGAAAATTAAAAATGTGCGTATTGATCATTGATCTTTGATCCTGAACTTCATTCATACCACATCCATTAAGTTGTCTACGGTATAGAATTAGTACTATCCTCCGGACTACTTCAGTTCAGCAGTAACACTCTTGCTAAAATGGGACGTCCGTTTGGGAATGCGGGATGTACAAATACGCAGCCACGTTTGATCGCAATTGGTACGTTAAATCTGCTTTGTCTAGAGAGTGTGCCAATGAACCCTTGTAACAGTTTTTTTTATGGATCCGTAGATGTCCCATAGCAGGGTACTGCTCCATACACAAAATACCATCATTTTCAAGTAGCACTCGAAATCTCGTCCTTCATCCCTGTCGATCAGCCTTTGCATAACCTACGTTTTGCATAATTTGTTAATTTGTTCTCGTCCGGAATATGCATGAAATATTTGTCACTGAACTTTAAGCAAACAACAATCAAGTCATAATATCACAAACATATATAGACAAATATGACAATTCTTTACCATTCTTTACACTATCAACCGCTTTACTCGCCAATATAAAGCCATAATAGGCTAACTTCGCTTTAGGCTGTCAGAAGTGAGAAGACTAAGAAGGTGAAAAAACGTGAGAAAAGTTTCCAATACTACTATTGTCAAAATAATTTATTTTCTTTCACTAAACGCATGTACTTAGGATTTAGTTTTGGGTTTGCAAGCGATGGGACTAGCTTATCTGGTGATTATTATTTTAAAAGCCGTGTTATTGCACTAAAACCATGTCCTACATTTTTTTGTTCTATCGCTGGGTCAATTGGTGGTGGATTAACACAAGTCCAATGCTTCTTTGCATGGTTCAAATGATACACTTTTTTTCTGTAAATTTCCAGTCCATACAGTTATGTTATTGTGTTCAAGTAGTGCAGAAAACTGCTAATCAGCAATTACTATACGAACACAGTATTTTTCCCGTAGAACATACATTCCTGAAAATTCACTGCAGGTTTATTAAGTTTGTATTAAAAACCTATTCCTGGTTTACTCAGTTCTGTGGAGTTAAATGCAAAATTAGAGACAAGAATCATGACACTATATCGTATTTAATTTTTTTTTATGAAATTAAATAATTTGATAGAAATATGCGTGTTTTTCAACGTTTATAAAACAATTTACAGAAACATTTTAGAAACCGAGATTAAGAGATAAACTGTAGCCTAGATGTTTTAGCCATTGTCAGATTGGTGTAATGTTCTCAGCATATAAAATATGTTTGCTTTATCTATCACAATAAACTTATTAAAATTAGGACATCCTTGACACATTTGAATCATATTTGGACGAATTAAGGCGACACTATTTTACCGATGTTAAAAATCTCGTGAATATAATTGTTGATTTCATCATAGTTGTACATTTACACTGACAATCACTTGACATTGAAGTCTAAGTATAGTGTAAAACGTTAGTATTTTTTTAAGTGGTGTATTTTTTCGTTCCTAAGTACCCATGACAAGTGCATATGGTGCTTAAATTTCCGGACTCGTAACTACTGAAGTAGTTTACTTAATTACTATTAATCGTTTTATGACTAGAGCCAAACAACTGCCTTGAAAGCAACTTTCTAACAATGTTAACAGACTTTTAACTGCCAGTACGGTCGATACTTCATAACTATCGTTACTTTCGTCACATGCATACGAGCAACTATCTTTGGAAGCAACATCTATACCATTTTCCATTAAGCTGGTTCCCGACTGACTACTACTATTTGTTCAGAGCGTAAATACAAGCCGATTCAAGTTTATTAATCCATTTCATACCTCAACCTTACGTTGGATGTCACATTAGCTGGTACTACATAAATCAACGTTAACACTTTTGAATTTCAACCACGCTTCGTATAAATATTCGGTATTGTTAAAATTATGACATGATATAATGAAGTTGAATTCCATTCTCCTTAAATCAGAGTTGACAAATCTATTGTCGTGTAATATCTTTATACCTAATTTCTGTGCAACTAATGATACATAAACATCGTCAAGAAATATCGTTTTCATATAAGGAAATGCAATTTTCAATGTTCGTAGTACATTTATGTGCGTCAGAACAGATCCACCTGAAAGAAACGGCGGTAGAATAAGTGGCTGGTATTCTTTTTCTGGTATATACCATTTGCTATATTTTGATTCTCTCGATTTCACCGGATCTCTATTACACTGCTTATACCCAAACATCACATCTCTTCCGGATCTAATTTTTTCACTAGAAAATTTTAACAGGTTTGGTATAGTTACAAAATAATCGTCGTCAACAAAAAAGACAAACTGGCTGTTTAAATTCGATACAACCCAGTCATATGCCATCAATGTTTTATATATGTTATTCCTGTATTCGTCATTAAATGAACCTTGAACTATATCTTTGTGTTCAGCATATTCGTACCTTGCATGTTCAACAAACTCGGTGAAATATCCTAGAAGGAAAACTACTAGTACATTTTCCCCATGACATTTTCCCCATGTGGAGCGAATCGCTTCTCTTTGGTCAAAATGTCCAACGGAAGACTTAACCAATATTATAAGTTCGATATCAGCTGAACATGTGACACTAAATATTGTGGTATAATGGTTGTACATATTATTTATTGGTTCGCTAGAGGTCATGCCTTTGTCTGTTATCTCATTCACAATATATTGCACATCGTTTAGAGGATAATTATAATGAAATCCATAACAACGTTGCTGTTTCTTTAAAACTTCCATATAGAAACAAACCTGAAAGTCATTAAAAGAACAGCTAGAATTATAATGATAAATTCGTTTCTGTGTAATAATATAGAAAACATTACTATCCTGGCGGTTCCTTCGTACTTTATACTGTTATTTTAGGCGAACTTACCTGAAAAAACTCCAAATATTAAAAAATATATTAGTGCACTTGACATACAAGCTTCCTTATTTTTATATTAACTGAACATACCTGTAATACACAAAATGCATATACTGGAAATAAACCAGTAGTAATATGATGTTCTTTTCGACTGATTAGTGTTACACCATTGTCAAAGGTTAGGAGCTAACAAAAGTGTTTAACCCCGCAACATTCTTTACGTGAATGTGTTTTTATCACGGAGTATGCGGTTGTCCTTTTAGTCGTAGGTCATAATTGTTTTCAGTGTAATATAATTTTCTTCAAGCAGGACATTTAGTTTTGCCTTTTAAACTGTTTCACTTTTGATATCCTGTGGCCTTTTACAACTTACTATACGGTATAAGTTTCTCACATTGTTGAAGGCCATATGTTTACCTTAGTTGTTTACATCCTTGACCGTTGGTCTTTTGTGGATGAATGTCTCATTGGCAAACATATCACATTTCCTTATCTATGTCGGGAACGTAAGGATTGTCTCGTGCAGTATACAGTAGTTTTCTTAATATTTTTGTTAGTTCTTTTAATTTCCATTGTGATTTTGTTTATTTCTGCTTTGGAAACAGTGCTAAAAGGGAGGTTATGATGACATACGTCATAGATTTGTTCATATATATATGTATATGAGCAATATTACATTGGAATAAGGATCGTTTTAATTTGCATTGTGACTTGACTCAATAAAAAGTCTTTATCTATGCTATCAATTAATATTTTCCTGATTTTTCTTGCATAACTTTACGCATATGAAGACAATTGACGTGTTCATGTGACGTTTACAGAATAGAGCAAAATGTGCAGAATAAATGGCAAAATACATAAAGAATAGAGAAAAATAGGGCAAAAAAATAAAAAATAGAGAATAATGGGGTGCTAAAATATAAAGAATAGTAATGGGCAAAAGATTAAAAGAATACAGAAAAATGACCTCAAATTAAAGAATACAGAAATGAAGGACATCCATGTTTTCCATATTTCAGAAGGCTATCTTGCGAACTTAAAACCAATTTTCTTGTGGAGAACGGAACACATATTGAAGAATTGAAGAGTTCCAATTGTAAGTTTTTGCAAGGGCGATCATTTGTGCCCACTGTGCATTGATAAAACAACAATAAGAAACGAAGAATAATGGCAAACCTATTTGTTTAATTGCTTCTTTAAAGAGGTACTTAAACGCAAAAAACATGTTTGAATAATTTTAAAGTTCGAAATAATCGTTGAAAAACGCAAAAAAAAACGATAACATTTTATCTTGTTATTATCGAGATATTTGCAAAATACTGTCTGTTCGTCATTTGCACACCTGAACGATTTAGTAAAACACGCCACTAACACCCTCTAATTCTACCCAACGGAAGTGACGTACTGTGGGTCACCCTGATCGAATACGTGTATTATATCGTATGTAAACAGATCAGCTCGTAAAGTAAAATAACAGTTTTGATATATATTGGTGACAATTACCAACCGAATCTACATCGAGAATATTGATATACATTTATCGAGGCTTGATAATCGCATACATATTTTAATCAAATGTTTATAATTAGAAGAAAAGTATTGAAAAAACTTCCAAATGAAAAAATCAACCTTTTTTTCTATAAATATTTAGATGTGCATCTAAAAGTGGCAAAATAATTATTAATCAGTTCATGATGGTGACCGCGTAATGGTAGAAGCAGAAGTAGAACCGTGCATGGGAAGTTCCATGGCGGAGAAACGGATTTTAAAATAGGACACTCCCAACACGTGCTTGAAAAAGACGATGTAGGACGTAACTTGTTGATTTGTTGTTAAATTAAACTACTGTATGTGGGTTTTTCTGGGCTACAAAAAATTAAGATGTTCTTACTTACTTACCGACGGACTTTAGTTACAGTAGGATTTCAAAATTATATAAGTTTATTCTCTAGATAATGTGAAGAATTGCGTACTGTCAGTCCTGGGAACAGTATATCTAACGTCCCAGGACTGACAGTACGCAATTCCTCACATTATCTAGAGAATAAACTTATATAATTTTGAAATGCTACTTAAATGGTTTCATGGTGCCAAAAAATTTATCATTTGCATGCATAAAATTTAACAACGCTTCATTACTCAAGGTTTATGAACAATTTCATAAACTGTAAAATGAATATATGCACAAAAAAAAATATTTCAAGAAATTTTTCTTATGTATTCAACAATAATAAACAAATAGTATGTGTGACTTTTTGTCCTATCAAATTTGTGACTTTCTGTCCTGTGACTTTCAGTCCGTTTACCATAGAGACATATTATACAATTGTAATCTATTTTTATGTCCTAAATCACAGGCCTATTCTTTGTGTTATTGGAAAATTAAATATAAATCATATATCGTAGAAATATAAAAGCAACAAAATAGTTAAATAAGTTAAAATATCTAAGAGCATTTAAAACTACAACAAAAACCACTGAAATAAAATCTTTAGAAAAAGGGGTGTGCATTCCAAAATTACTTGTGTCCTAAATCCTAAATATTACGATCGAACCAAATATATTTGTTTTTGAAATAAAAAAATTATAAATACTGTCTTTAAGGTTTTGAAATATTGACCATTTCTTTCATTTGAAAATTTAAGCAATGACAATTAAAAAACAAAACAAGAAAAATATTAATCCTCTCTGTCACCTTTTGATCCTGGTAATTAAAACAGTCCGTACTTTGACACCTAATGATAAGTGAACATCCTGTAAGGTAATAAAGATCAAACAGGGTAAACAGTGGCTATTATCCCCCCAGTCAGGTAATTAACAACTTGGCCATGCAGAAATGCCACCTGTTGTTTATAAATTGATGAACTTAATAGTTTGATAATTAACGTTATTGAAAAGGTATTGCGAATACCTGGTTTTGAACTTGCAATTTTTATCACATGGAAAAGAAGCCCTACCGTCATATCTTGTATAGATGTTATGCAACTTCACGTACATGTAAACATAAGCAATATTTATCCTCGACTCAATAAAAAAATTTATTTATAGCTAGAATATAATATATTGACCGTTCATTTTTCTCTTTCCTACGATCAGGATCATTGTTTTTAGTTGAAAACTCAATGTTGAATTACCCAAACCCCATCCACCCCCTTTTTCTATTGAAACACATTATTAATACACTTCCCTTCTGAAACATTTTTTTCCTTTTGACAAATTGGTCATAATAAAGAATGAGCTTTGAAGAGGTAGCGATATTCATTGGCAGTGCTTTAAATCAACGATCAGGAGAAAGTTCATTATTAATCAACGTTTAGATTAGCCGAAGGAGTGACCCACTGTGTGTCACTTCCGGTAGATTTGTTTTAGTGCTTTTTCCGGAAGTAGCGTTGATTGGATTTTCCTAAGGTAAAAATAGTTGAACTTTACACGCAATTATCTCTGTAATTAGTGGACCAAATTGCATCGTTTTTTTTGCATTTTTTATTAAGTATTTCGACCTTTTAGATAAGAATTACTTGTTATGTGTGTTTTAGTACCTCTTCAAGATTTATGAAAACTTTTCTAGACGCTAGACATATTGTTTAGACACATGTCTACTGTGAAAGACCGTCAGGAAGTCTGAAGCCTACTTGATGTATGTCCCGCATATCGTTTTATTCAGAGGCGGTCATTTCACAAAATATTGGAGAAACCCTAACTTACATTATTCGGTTTTATGTACAAAGCTTGGCGCGTTCAAACGGCAGAGAAGTTGAATATTATTCTGACTATAAGAGATTTTTTTTGGGTGCATGGGGATGAAAAGTATGGCATTCTTTAAATGATTATTTTACTGTTTCTCTGTTTTGAAAACGTAACCATAAACACACAATTGGATTAAGCATCTTGTCATCACAAACCCGCTAAAACAACTAGTTGGAATTTTACAGAATTTCAGTAACAATGTTATTTTGCCATTTTGCACCTCATATTTTTTTAATATCGATCCTACAATGTATATCTAGCTTTTTATCCATATCGGTCCAGTTTGCACAAGTTGCTTGATTTTTATATTTATTTTCATTTTGTTTTGTCCTGAATATGCATGAAACATTTGCCACTGGACGTCAATTAAACAACATTCAATCAGTAGAATTGCTACTACTCCAAGGATTTCTCGTGGTCTTTCTCCAAATTGCTACGCCCCCAAGGATTTCTCATAGTCTTTCTCTAAATTGCTACACCCCCAAGGATTTATCGTGCTCATTCTCTAAATTGCTACACTCCAAGGATTTCTCATGGTCCTTCTCTAAATTGATACACCCCCAAGGATTTCTGATGGCCTTTCTCTAAATTGATACACCCCAAAGGATTTTTCGTGGTCTTTCTCTAAATTGCTACACCACCAAGGATTTCTCATGATCTTTCTCTAAATGGCTACACCCCCAAGGATCTCCCATGGTCTTTCTCTAAATTGCTAAACCCCAAGGATTTCTCATGGTCTTTCTCTAAATTGCTGAACTCCCAAGGATGTCTAATGATACTTCTCTAAATTGCTACACGCCCAAGGATTTCTCATGGACTTTCTCTAAATTTCTACACCTCCAAGGATTTGTCATGGTCTTTCTCTAAATTTCTACACCCCCAATGATTTCTAATGGCCTTTCTCTAAATTGCTACACCCCTAAAGATTTATCATATTTTTTTCTTTAAATTTCTACACCTCCAAGGATTTCTCATGGTTTTTCTCTAAATTGCTACACCCCAAGGATTTCTCATGGTCTTTCTCTAAATTGCTACACCCCCAAGGATTTCTCATGGTCTTTCTCTAAATTTATACACCCCCAAGGATTTCTCATGATCTTTCTCTAAATTGCTACACCCTCAAGGATTTCCAATGGTCTTTCTTTAAATTGCTACATCCCCAAGGATTTCTCATGTTTTTTCTCTAAATTGCTACACCCCCAAGGATTTCTAATGATCTTTTTCTAAATTGCTACACCCCAAAGATTTCTCATGATCTTTCTCTAAATTGCTACACCCCAAGGATTTCTCATGTTTTTTCTCTAAATTGCTACAACCCCAAGGATTTCTCATGGTCTTTCCTTAAATTGCTACAACCCAAGGAATTATGATGGTCTTTCTCTAAATTGCTACACCCCCAAAGATTTCTCATGGTTTTTCTATAAATTGCTACACCTCCAAAATTTCTCATGATCCTTTTCTAAATTGCTACACCCCAAAGATTTCTCATGATCTATCTCTAAATTGCTACACCCCAAGGATTTCTCATGGTTTTTCTCTAAATTGCTACACCCCCAGTGATTTCTAATGGCCTTTCTCTAAATTGCTACAACCCAAGGATTTCTCATGTTTTTTTCCATAAATTTCTACACCCAGAAGGATTTCTCATGATCTTTCTCTAAATTGCTACACCCCCAAAGATTTCTCATGGTCTTTCTCTAAATTGCTACACCCCAAGGATTTCTGATGGTTTTTCTCTAAATTGCTACAACCCCAAGGATTTCTCATGGTCTTTCTCTAAATTGCTACACCCTCAAGGATTTCCAATGGTCTTTCTCTAAATTGCTACATCCCCAAGGATTTCTCATGTTTTTTCTCTAAATTGCTACACCCCCAAGGATTTCTCATGATCTTTTTCTAAATTGCTACACCCCAAAGATTTCTCATGGTTTTTCTCTAAATTGCTACACCCCAAGGATTTCTCATGATCTTTCTCTAAATTGCTACACCCCAAGGATTTCTCATGGTTTTTCTCTAAATTGCTACAACCCCAAGGATTTCTCATGGTCTTTCCCTAAATTGCTACAACCCAAGGATTTATCATGGTCTTTCTCTAAATTGCTACACCCAGAAGGATTTCTCATGATCTTTCTATAAATTGCTACACCCCTAAAGATTTCTCATGGTCTTTCTCTAAATTGCTACACCTCCATCTAGGGCCAAAGAAATTGAGAATAACGGCAAATCTTTAATTTTCTCTCGAAGATTTATTTAAAAAATTTTCTAAACTCTGGACAAATTGTTTATAGACACATGGCTATTGCGGAAGACCGTCTAGAAGTCTGAAATTTCATTGACGTATATATGCCGCATATCGTTTTATTCAGAGGCGATCATTTTACAAAACATTGGAGAAACGCTAACTAACATGATTCTGTAGTGTGTCGAACAAACGTGTGCTTTCGTATGTCAAGTGACTTGCATATACAACGGTTGAGGCGTTCAAAAGTTAGAGAAGTTGAATATCAACTTAATTGTTTCAATTGTAAGAGAATTTTGCTTTATTTTTTTGTTCATTTTAGGGAGGACAGAATGGGGTAAAAAGTACGGCATATTTCAAGAATCATTTCACTGTTTCTTTTCCTTTTGATAGTATTATTTTTAAATGGTTTGATGAAGAGAAAGGGATATAAAACGGTATCGTTCTTATTTGTCGGTTCATCTAAACTCAATCTAATTAAAATATAGAACTCTGATTTCGTTATACTCCATATGGAGTATAACGAAATCAGAGTTCTATATTTTAATTCAATTGATGATCTAAACTTTGTATCCGCATCTCTTTCTGGATATAAATATACGTGTATGACTTGATTTGTCTGGATCTATTAGAGCTCTTTAGAATCTTAAATAAATTGCGCACTTCCTTTTTTCTTTTCTTTTTTCTTATGCAATCTTTTAATAAAATCACTTGTCATTTTCGTCCCATGCTTTAAAAATCATTTTTTAAAGCTTGTAATGTAAAAAGTAAAATAACAAAAATACCGAACTCCGAGGAAAATTCTAAACGGAAAGTCCCTAATCAAATAATCAAATGGCAAAATCAAAAGCTCAAACACATCATACGAATGGATAACAACTGTCATATTCCTGACTTGGTAAAGACATTTTCGTATGCATGGTGGATTATACCTGGTTTTATAGCCGAGGTAGCTAGCTAAACCTCTCACTTGTATGACAGTCGCATAAAAATTCCATTATATTGACAAAAATGTGTGAACAAAACAAACAGACATAATAGGTATAAATGTCAAAATTAGGGGTACAGCAGTCAACATTGTGTTATAATCTCAATCACTATAAAAACAAACAAATATATCTACAAAGAAAAACAAAAAGGCATGTCGACAAAGCACATTAGCAAAAACGAAAGACAAAATTACAAAAAATTACCATAGCACAATAATACAATGACGGGATGTATAAGTACCGAGCCACGTCAAATGGGTAAATACCAAAAATAGAATAAACAGTAAAAGTAATACTTTACAAAGACAAATAATAGAACACTATAACATGTATTTAAGATGATAAACAACGTAAGTACCTAGAATCTAATCTTCAAGACCATCGTGTATTGTTTGTGAAGTTGATACGGAATATAATTTATCAACAAGGTCTTGGTATCTTCCGATGAACTTTTTTAGAAAAAGGACGAGACGTTCTTTGATATAACCCTGGTTCATCAACTTTCTGCACAGACACTGGTGACGTTTTACAAAGTCTGAGTAGCAGCTGCAAGCTCTTGAATACCGAATGAGTTGGGAAATGTATATCCCATATGCAAACAGTTCATATCTTTACCAATTTGACAATTAAAAATGTTCGTATTGATCATTGATCTTTGATCCTTGACTTCATTCATACCACATCCATTAAGTAGTCTACGGTATGAAATTAGTACTATCCTTCGGACTACTTCCGTTCGGCAGTAACACTCTTGCTAAAATGGGACGTCCGTTTGGGTATGCGGGATGTACAAATACGCAGCCACGTATGATCGCAATTGGTACGTTAAATCTGCTTTGTCTAGAGAGTGTGCCAATGAACCCTTGTGACAACTTTTTGATGGATACGTAGATGTCCCATTGCAGGGTACTGCTCCATACACAAAATACCATCATTTTCAAGTAGCACTTGAAATTCTCGTCCTTCATCCTTGTCGATCAACCTTTGCATAACCTACGTTTTGCATAATTTGTTAATTTGTTCTCGTCCGGAATATGCATGAAATATTTGTCACTGAACTTTAAGCAAACAACAATCAAATCATAATATCACAAACATATACAGACAAATATGACAATTCTTTTTTCATTTTTTACACTGTCAACCACTTTACTCGCCAATATAAAGCCATTATAGGCTAACTTCGCATTAGGATGTCAGAAGTGAGAAGACTAAGAATGTGAGAAAACGTGAGAAAAGTTTCCAATACTACTATTGACAAAATAATTTATTTTCTTTCACTATACGCATGTACTTAGGATTTATTTTTGGCTTTGCAAGCGATGGGACTAGCTTACCTGGTGATTGTTATTTTAAAAGCCGTGTTAGTGCACTGAAATTATGTCTTTATTTTCAATCGCTGGGTCAATTGGTGGTGGATTAACACATGTCCAGTGCTTCTTTGCATGGTTCAAATGATACACTTTTTTTCTGTAAATTTCCAGTCCATACAGTTATGTTATTGTGTTCAAGTAGTGCAGAAAACTGCTAATCAGCAATTACTATACGAACACAATATTTTTTTCCCGTAGAACATACACTCCTGAAAATTCACTGCAGGTTTATTAAGTTTGTATTAAAAACCTATTCCTGGTTTACTCAGTTCTGTGGAGTTAAATGCAAAATTAGAGACAAGAATCATGAAACTATATCGTATTTAATTTTTTTTTTAAATTAAATAATTTGATAGAAATATGTGTGTTTTTCAACGTTGATAAAATAATTTATAGAAACATTTTAGAAACCGAGATTAAGAGATAGACTGTAGCCTACATGTTTTAGCCGTTATCAGATTGGTGTAATGTTCTCTGCAAATAAAGTATGTTTGCTTTATCTATCACAATGAACTTATTAAAATTAGGACATCATTGACACATCTGTATCTTATTTGGACCAATCAAGGCGACATTATTTTACCGATGTTAAAAATCTCGTTAATATAATTGTTGATTTCATCATAGTTGTACATTTACACTCAGTCTGACAACCACTTGACATCGAAGTCTAAGTATAGTGTCAAATGTTGGTATTTATTTAAGTGGTGTATTTTTCCGTTCCTAAGTACCCATGACAAGTGCATATGAAGCTTAGATTCCCGGCCTCGTAACTACTGAAGTAGTTTAATTAATTACTATTAATCGTTTTATGACTAGAGCGAAACAACTGCCTTGAAAGCAACCTTCTATCAATGTTAACAGACTTTTAACTGCCAGGACGGTCGATACTTCATAACTATCGTTACTTTTGTCACATGCATACGAGCAACTATCTTTGGAAGCAACATCTATATCATTTTCCATTAAGCTGGTTCCCGACTGACTACTACTATTTGTTCAGAGCGAAGCGTAAATACAAGTCGATTCCAGTTTATTAATCCATTTCATACCTCAACCTTACGTTGGATGTCACATTAGTTGGTACTACATAGATCAACGTGAACACTACCAACTAATATGTTTGGTGTTTTGAATTTCAACCACGCTTCGTATAAATATTCTGTACTGTTAAAATTGTGACATGATATAATAAAGTTGAATTCCATTCTCCTTACCTCATCGTTGACAAATCTTTCGTCGTGTAATATCTTTAAACCTAATTTCTGTGCAACTAATGATACATACACATCGTCAAGATATATCGGTTTCATATAAGGAAATGCTATTCTCAATTTTCGTACGACATTAATGTGAGTAAGAACAGATCCACCTGAAAGAAACGGCGGTAGAATAAGTGGCTGGTATTCTCTTTCTGATATATACCATTTGCTATATTTTGATTTTCTTGATCTCACCGGATCTCTATTACACTGCTTATGTCCGAACATCACATCTCTTCCGGATCTAATTTTTTCACGAGAAAATTTTAACAGGTTTGGTATAGTTACAAAATAATCGTCGTCAACAAAAAAGACAAACTGGCTGTTTGAACAATTCGATACAACCCAGTCATATGCCATCAATGTTTTATATATGTTATTCCTGTATTCGTCATTAAATGAACCTTGAACTATATCTTTGTGTTCAGCATATTCGTACCTTGCATGTTCAACAAACTCGGTGGAATATCCTAGAAGGAAAACTACTCCTACATTTTCCCCATGACATTTTCCCCATGTGGAGCGAATCGCTTCTCTTTGGTCAAAATGTCCAACGTAAGACTTAACCAATATTATAAGTTCGATATCAGCTGAACATGTGACACTGAATATTGTGGTAAAATGGTTGTACATATTATTTATTGGTTCGCTAGAGGTCATGCCTTTGTCTTTTATCTCATTCACAATATATTTCACATCGTTTAGAGGATAATTATAATGAAATCCATAACAACGTTGCTGTTTCTTTAAAACTTCCATATAGAAACAAACCATAAAAGCCATTAAAAGAAAAGCTAGAATTATAATGATAAATTCGTTTCTGTGTAATAATATAGAAAACATTACTATCTTGGCGGTTCCTTCGTACTTTTTACTGTTATTTCAGGCGAACTTACCTAAAAAAACTCCAAATATTAAAAAATATATTAGTGCACTTGACATACAAGCTTCCTTATTTTTATATTAACTGAACATACCTGTAATACACAAAATACATATACCGGAAATAAACCAGTAGTAATATGATGTTCTTTTCGACTGATTAGTGTTACACCACTGTCAAAGGTTAGGGGCTAACAAAAATGTTTAACAACATTCTTTTCGTAAATGTGTTTTTATCACGGAGTATGTGGTTGTCCTTTTAGTCGTAGGTCATAATTGTTTTCAGTGTAATATAATTTTCTTCAAGCAGGACATTTAGTTTTGCCTTTTAAACTGTTTCAATTTTGATATCCTGTGGCCGTTTACAACTTACTATACGGTATAAGTTTCTCACATTGTTGAAGGCCATATGTTTACCTTAGTTGTTTACACCCTTGACCGTTGGTCTTTTGTGGATGGATGTCTCATTGGCAAACATATCACATTTCCTTATCTATGTCGGGAACGTAAGGATTGTCTCGTGCAGTATACAGTAGTTTTCTTAATATTTTTGTTCGTTCTTTTAATTTCCATTGTGATTTTGTTTATTTCTGCTTTGGTAACAGTGCTAAAAGGGAGGTTATGATGACATACGTCATAGATTTGTTCATACATATATGTATATGAACAATATTACATTAGAATAAGGATCGTTTTAATTTGCATTGTGACTTGACTCAATAAAAAGTCTTTATCTATGCTATCAATTAATATTTTCCTGATTTTTTCTTGCATAGCTTTACGCATATGAAGACAATTGACGTGTTCATATGACGTTTACAGAATAGAGCAAAATGTGCAGAATAAATGGCAAAATACATAAAGAATAGAAAAAAATAGGGCAAAAAAATAAAGAATAGAGAATAATGGGGTGCTAAAATATAAAGAATAGTAATGGGCAAAAGATTTAAAGAATACAGAAATGAAGGACATCCATGTTTTCCATATTTCAGAAGGCTATCTTGCGAACTTAAAACCAATTTTCTTGTGGAGAACGGAACACATATTGAAGAATTGAAGAGTTCCATTTGTAAGTTTTTGCAAGGGCGATCATTTGTGCCCACTGTGCATTGATAAAACGGCAATAAGAAAAGAAGAATAATGGCAAACCTTTTTTTTTTAATTGCTTCTTTAAAGAGGTACTTAAACGCAAAAAACATGTTTGAATAATTTTAAAGTTGGAAATAATCGTTGAAAAACGCAAAAAAAACACGATAAAATTTTATCTTGTAATTATCGAGATATTTGCAAAATACTGTCTGTTCGTCATTGGCACACCTGAACGATTTAGTAAAAGACGCCACTAAAACCCTCTAATTATACCTAACGAATACGTGTATTATATCGTATGTAAACAGATCAGCTCGTAAAGTGAAATAACAGTTTTGATATATATATTGGTGACAATTACCAACCGAATCTACATCGAGAATATTTATATACATATATCGATGCTTGATAATCGCATAAATGTTTTAATCAAATGTTTATAATTAGAAGAAAAGTATTGAAAAAACTTCCAAAAGAACAAATCAACCTTTTTTTCTATAAATATTTAGATGTGCATCTAAAAGTGGCAAAATAATTATTAATCAGTTTATGATGGTGACCGCTTAATGGTAGAAGCAGAAGTAGAACCGTGCATGGGAAGTTCCATGGCGGAGAAACGGATTTTAAAATAGGACACTCCCAACACGTGCTTCCAAAAGACGATGTAGGACGAAACTTGTTGATTTGTTGTTAAATTAAACTACTGTGGGTTTTTCTGGGCTACAAAAATTAAGATGTTCTTACTTACTTACCGACGGACTTTAGTTACAGTAGGATTTTAAAATTATATAAGTGTATTCTCTAGATAATGTGAAGATTTGCGTACTGTCAGTCCTGGGAACAATATATCTAACGTCCCAGGACTGACAGTACGCAATTCTTCACATTATCTAGAGAATAAACTTATATAATTTTGAAATGCTACTTAAATGGTTTCATGGTGCCAAACAATTTATCCTTTGCATGCATAAAATTTAACAGCGCTTCATTACTCAAGGTTTATGAACAATTTCATAAACTGTAAAATGAATATATGCAAAAAAAAATATTTCAAGAAATTTTTCTTATGTATTCAACAGTAATAAACAAAAAGTATGTGTGACTTTTTGTCCTATCAAATTTGTGACTTTCTGTCCTGTGACTTTCAGTCCGTTTACCATAGAGACATATTATACAATTGTATTCTATTTCTGTGTGCGAAATCACAGGCCTATTCTTTGTGTTATTGGAATATTTAATAAAAATCATATATCGTAGAAATATAAAAGCAACAAAATAGTTAAATAAGTTAAAATATCTAAGGGCATATAAAACTACAACAAAAACCACTGAAATAAAATCTTTAGAAAAAGGGTGTGCATTCCCAAATTACTTGTGTCCTAAATCCTAAATGTTATGATCGAACCAAATATATATTTTTTTTTTTTTAAATTATAACATACTGTCTTTAAGGTTTTGAAATATTGACCATTTCTTTTATTTGAAAATTTAAGCAATGAAAATTAAATAACAAAACAAGAAAAATATTAATCCTCTCTGTCACCTTTTGATCCTGGTAATTAAAACAGTCCGTCCTTTAACACCTATTGATAGGTGAACATCTTGTAAGGTAATAAAGATCAAACATGGTAAACAGTGGCAAACAAATGGAAGTTTTTAACGACCTTGACTGGCTATACAGCCCTTGCACGGTCGGCTCGGTGCCCGAAGGCGTTTGGTGAGCGTTTAAATAATTTTGTGCCATCGGTCAGGAACAGGTGGTGGACGCCATTTTGGTAGGCCGCCATCTTGGTTTTGTTAGTTGTTTTGATTTTTCTTTTGTTGACTATTTTGATGTTATGTCTTCACAACGGCTGCTTTCAGGGCCAGGTTGGTCAGCTTGGCAGCCCGCTAACCTCGATGATGGAGTACTGGTAGATGAGTCTCGGACGTAGTATTAACGATGACAGGAAGCATTATCAGGACCAAAGTCGTGAGACAGTGAAATGGTGGTCCATCATCTAACACCTAGGATACAGCCCTCGGACGTCACTCGGCATACCACTCCCCCATCCATAATGGGTTTTGGAGTGTATGTTGACGCGGGAATTTGCCCTACGCGGATTATAGCCTAACGTAGTCTGTACAGCGTTGGATTGGTTTCTGTCATCGAAAGTAGTAAGTCGTTGATCCATCTAACTGTAAACCCTCATCGAAGATAGCGGGTAAAGGAGAGCTGACCCAGCACGTCCGTTCAGTTGTAATGACTGAGACGTGACTGGTGATGGATTGTGATGTGAAGTAATGAATGAAACAGTGGCTATTATCCCTCCACTCAGGTAATTAACAACTTGGCCATGCAGAAATGCCACCTGTTGTTTATAAATTGATGAACTTTATAGTTTGATAGTTAACATTATTAAAAAAGTATCGCGAATACCTGGTTTTAAACTTGCAATTTTTATTACATGGAAAAGAAGCCCTACCGTCATATCTTGTATAGATGTTATGCAACTTCACGTACATGTAAACATAAACAATATTTATCTTCGACGCAATAAAAAAAAATTATTTATAGCTAGAATATAATATAGTGACCGTTCATTTTTCTCTTTCCTACGATCAGGATTATTGTTTTCAGTTGAAAACTCAATGTTGAATTACCCAAACCCCATCCACCCCCTTTTTCTATTGAAACACATTATTGATACACTTCCCTTCTGAAACATTTTTTTTTTTCCTGTTGACAAATTGGTCATAATAAAGAATGAGCTTTGAAGAGGTAGCGATATTCATTGGCAGTGCTTTTAATCAACGATCAGGAGAAAGTTCATTATTAATCAACGTTTAGATTAGCCGAAGGAGTGACCCACTGGGCGTCACTTCCGGTAGATTTGTTTTTAGTGCTGTTTCCGGAAGTAGCGTTGATTGGATTTTCCTAAGGTAAAATAGTTGAACTTAACACGCAATTATCTCTGTAATTAGTGGACCAAATTGCATCGTTTTTTTGCATTTTTGATCAAGTATTTCGACCTTTTAGATAAAAATTACTTGTTATGTGTGTTTTAGTACCTCTTCAAGATTTTTTACCACTTTTCTAGACGCTAGACATATTGTATAGACACATATCTACTGTGGAAGACCGTCTAGAAGTCTGAAGCCTACTTGACGTAGATCCCGCATATCGTTTTATTCAGAGGCGATCATTTCACAAAATATTGGAGAAACCCTAACTTATTATTTTATTATTATTCGGTTTTATGTACAAAGCTTGGCGCGTTCAAACGGCAGAGAAGTTGAATATTATTCTGACTATAAGAGATTTTTTTTGGGGTGCATGGGGGTGAAAAGTATGGCATTCTTTAAATGATTATTTTACTGTTTCTCTGTTTTGAAAAGGTAACCATAAACACACAATTGGATTAAGCATCTTGTCATCACAACCCCGCTAAAACAACTTGTTGGAATTTTAAAGAATTTCAGTAACAATGCCATTTTGCCATTTTGCACCTCATATTTTTTTTAATTTCGATCCTACAATGTACATCTAGCCTTTCATCCATATCGATCCAGTTTGCAAAAGCTGCTTGATTTTTATATTTATTTTCATTTTGTTTTGTCCTGAATATGCATGAAACATTTGCCACTGGGCGTCAATTGAACAACAATCAATCAAAAGAATTGCTACTACTCCAAGGATTTCTCGTGGTCTTTCTCCAAATTGCTACTCCCCCCAAGGATTTCTCATAGTCTTTCTCTAAATTGCTATACCCTTCATGAAATCTCGTGCTCTTTCTCTAAATTGCTAC